TTTTCCCCCCCCCCCCCCCCCCCCCCCCACACAATCTCCCCCAAGCTTTTGAGGCTGGAAAGGCTTGTGGCCCCCGAGATGGATCCCTGATCAGAGGAAACAAGGGTAAAAAGCCAGCCTGGTGGTTGGAGGCCGCCGTTGGGCCAAGTTGTGTGTCATGGCCTCCCCCAGCCCTTCTGGGCCCAGCTGCCAGCGGGGTGTCCAGCCGCTTCTCAGAGATGGGGCTCATGATGGCCCTCGAAGGAGCCATCCTTATTTGGGCCGGCTGAGCTCTGAGGTCTCTGACTCCCGTCAAGTCCTTTCTGGGTTACCTGCGAGCGTGGTTTTTGTTCGTTGCTTTGCGCTGGGACTCGAGCGAGGGGTCTGCATGGCAGCCTTGCTGGGAGAGTCCCTCAGCTACTGTGCCCAAGGTGGCTCGGCCAGCGGAGGGGCTGCGGAGGGGCTGTGGGGATTCTTCTTTCCCCGCAGAGGCTGTGGGACTTTTGGGTCGCAAGCAGCTTTCAAATTGAGGCTGCTGCGTGGAGTTGAGTCCCCGGAGGATTTAAGGACCAGCCGTTCTTAGCTTGCCACACTTTTGAGCGCAGAATCGGCTGAGGCAGGAGAAGAGGAGTTGGGCCGCCCCTGCTGCTGTTCTCGTTCTTTGTGGCCCAGAGGGAGGAGGCTGGTCTTCTGGAACGGCTAGCAGCGCATCGGGCCTTTTGGAAAGCGGGGGCAGGAGGAGGCCCTCCCCTCCCCTCCTGGTTTTCCCCACCGCCACTCCGGAGGGAAGTGGCCAAAGCGATTCCGCCCTCCCGAGTTTCGGAAAGGGCTTGCCCAGTCGAGGCTGGAGCAAGAGGGGGGAAGCAGGGTCTGCAGAAGGGGGCACCTCTACCTGCTGATGGTATTGCCAGGGATTGGCTTGGCTTCTCCCCAAGAAAGCTTTGCGCCCCCCTCCCCTTGCCCTCCCCAGTCCCGGGCCCCCTTTGATGCAGCAGTTCCCCCACCTGCCCTCATTGGTGGCCGGCTGCTCTTGCTCCCGGTGGTCTCCTCCGAGGGCTGAGCCAGCCAGCCGGCTGTGCCGCAATATGTCTGCCAGCGAATGACCCGCTCTGTGTTTGGCCTCCTAGAGTGAAGGGACCCAAGCGGTTGGGCAGCGGTTTCTCCCAGCCCTGTGAGAATATCGTGGTGGCCTATTACTTCTGTGGAGAGCCGATCCCCTACCGGACCCTTGTCAAAGGCCGGGTGGTCACGCTGGGCCAATTCAAGGAACTGCTGACCAAGAAAGGGAATTACAGGTAAGAATGGGCAAGGAGCTGGCACTGCCATGGGAGGTCAGCATGCGCTGAAGTCTCCCTTCGACCCAGAGCAAAGCAACAGCTCTTGGGAGCTGGAGAATCCTATTTGAAGAGCTGGGGATCCAGAGACAGAATAGCAATAGCAGCAGCACTCGGACTTCCATACTGCTTCACAGTGCTTTGCAGCCCTCTCTAAGCGGGTTACAGCCCTCTCGGCATATTGCCCCCAGTAATTTGGGTCCTCATTTTTACCTACCTCGGAAGGAGGGAAGGTTGAGTCAACCTGGAGCCTGGTGAGATTTGAACTGTCAAATTGCAACAGACAGCAGTCAGCAGAAGTAGCCTGCAGTACCACTCTCTAACCGTTGCGCCACCACAGTTCAATGGGGGTACTCAGTGGTGATACTTGGAGAATGGCTCAGAAAACAGTGCTTTCCTTCTCAAAAGACCAGGGGGAGAAATGGAGGAGGCTTAAAGTTAAACCACAAATTGCCTGCGTGATCTACTTGGCTAGCAAACGTGGAGGATTAGTTTTCCCAAACAAGTACAAAGGCGAAAGGGAAAAATGGGGCTCTGATATTCCAGATATCTGGGCTGGGGTCATCACTGTTTCGGTGCACAGCTTTGGTGCTTTTTAGATGGTCCTGGGTGGGTTTGCAATAGCAAAGCCCCCTAGAAGCATCTCCCAGTTGGCCGCCTTGTGGGGTGTCTGCAAAGCTGATGGCCCCCTTGGGGCAAAACCTTCTCTCTCCCCCCCCCCCCATTCCTGTTTTAAAGGTATTACTTCAAGAAAGTCAGTGACGAGTTTGACTGCGGAGTTGTGTTTGAAGAAGTTCAGGAGGAGGATGCGGTCCTGCCTATCTTTGAAGAGAAGATAATTGGGAAGGTAGAGAAGATTGACTAAGCAGGGGGAGCCAGAAGGCCTGGCAGCCACAGCCCTGCTCTCCCTCGCTCTTTGCCTTCTCTGGGGAAGCCACAACTTTCTCCACAGTCGATAGGATCTTCAGCTTGCTGCGTTAGGACATTGCTCAGCTGTTGACAAAAGCTGCACCAAAGGCTGTCTTTGAGGTGATCCCGGGTTTGCAATATTACGGCCGTGCCACCTCCACCATGGGACGGTGGGCCAAGCCAGAAGCTGGAGACCCTTGAGGGAGGCAGACTGAACAAGGTGCTGGTTTGCATCCCGGATAGCCTTGGAATGAGGGCTACTTGATAAGAGTCGCACCTTGTCCCGCCTGGCGTGTCCCCCCCGAGAGGTCTTCCTGTTCAGACGCTGCCCTCCGAGGGGCAGAGGAAGACTCCGAGGTGCCACCCCATCCATGCCTTGCTACCTCTCTCTCATTTCCCTGCCATTCAACAGCTGGAGGGGGAGGGGGGCTTAGGGCAGGAGTCTCTTCTGCTTGCTGAACTGCTGTCAGTCTTCCTCTTTCGCTGACCTCCCCCAGGCTACACACACACACACACACACACCACCTGGGCTCCACGTATCCACGGCAGAGGAGGGGGAACAGCCCCGGCTGCCCCCACCAGCACCCGCCCCTTGCGAACGTCACCGAGTGCCTTCCAACCTCATGCTTGCTCCCTCCCTCCCTCGCCCGGGATTGTGCTCCACGTCGGATGGACGTTTTCAAGTGGCCGGCTGGGGCCGGATCTTCGTTTCCCCTTTTTCTGAAGGGTTCAGTTGTACATATGTACATTTTCTAAACCAGGCTCAGGCCGCAGCGGCTGAGCAGACGGCTGGCAATTCTGGAACTTTTTTTTTCCCACATGTTGACTTGTACAATTGATCTTTTTACAGGTGCAACCATGGAATAAAGGCCCCCGTTCCAATGGCTGCTGGGTGTGTATGTGTGCAGGGCTTGCTCCACAGATTCTGCAGAGGCTGAAAATCTGGTTCCCAAGGGGAGGAGAGGACTGGCTAGTGGTCAAGGGAGGGCCGACTTCTCAGAGTTCGGAGCGATGTGGCCTTCCTAGTGGGTGCAGACCAGGAGAGCCTCTGAGCCTGTGACTTTGGTGTCCAGAGCACCAGGCAGGCTGAAGCGGTGCTGATTTTGGAGAGTTGTGTCAGCCATGTTTGTGGCTCGTTAGATACCGATGCACCTGCTGGCAGTAAGTGGCACCAACCAGCTGCGTTTCCTTCTGCCCAGCGGGCTATTTTGCAGAGCCTTCCTGTGGGAGGGCAAGGCGAGGGAAGGGGCGAGGGTGGGTGGCTTCACATGGAAGGAACCAGCTCTGGGAAGCGTTTGAGAGGGCCCAGAGGGTAGCAACACACCTGTAGGAAAGTAACTGGTTATTTGGGGTGGGGGTGGGGGTGTCTGCACGGCTTGAAACACGTGACTTTCACACAGTCTTTCTTTGGTATTCAAGGTCTTTATATTGTTTATGACGCTGTGGGGGCCTCCTGTAGAAAGTGAGGCTCAGGAGGGGGACAGCAGGATCTATAACTCCTCCCTGGACTTTGTGGCCTCTGGTGGATTCATCCCATCGTGCCGGGGCTCTTTGGGGGTCTCAGCGGCCTAGGAAAGCAGAGGCAACCTTTACTCGAGTACCCAGGTACGCACTGTTCTCCAACAGCAACCACTGTCCACATAGGCAGAGCGCTGTTTGTTTGCAAAACAGGCTTAGGAAGCCGAGACTGAAGGGAAAGTGAGGGGAGGAGGCAGGTTCAACCCAAGACTTTTTCCTCCTACACCCCCCCCCCTCCGTCTTGGGGCGATTGTCCAAAATAGCGTGCATGAATTTTCATTGTGTGAACCTTGGAACCAAGGGTGGAATCCACATTCTAGCAAGACCTAGAAGCTGGCTTAGATCACTGGGAATTACAGCATAGATATCCCAGGAGTCTCCCCAAAGTCCAGATGGGAACCTGGAGGAAAAGACTTCTGGCCTGGCTAAGCAGAACCTTCCCTTTGCATCGGGAAAGCCGGGTAGCCCCTTTTCTGGAGGGGTCTGGTACTTACTCCAGCCTCTTCGTTGGAGAGGACCTGCCCTCCTCCCCCCTCCAGGAACCTCGAGAAGCTCTCAAGATCTCTGCCTCCTTTGTACTCAATCACCTGGGCAGGAAACCCACAGTCAGCATGGGCCCACCTCCTCCCTCCCCCAACCAGCAGCCAGGCCCTCGTCCAAATGTTGTTCTACCTGCCGGCCTGGCCCAGCGGGAAAGAAGTACAGGGTTGGGTAGCCACGGATGGTCAAGTCTGCCGCTTCGTTGGCTGTGGCGTCCATCTCCGCAATGACGATATTATTGTGATCTTTGTATTTCTCTGCTAACTCTTCCCAGGCTGGGGCCAGGGCCTTGGAGTGGGGGCACCAAGGGGCATCTGTGGAGACAGATGTTCTTAGATTAAAAATACTGAACCCTGCCCTCGGTTGTGAGTCGCACAAGCTTGGGCTCGGATTCTCTGTGGCTGCTGTGCACAATCCACCCTCCTGAATCTAACAGGTGTTTAGGGATTCAGCATGGGACCTAATTTCTGGCCCAGTTGCATCGTGTTTCTCTGGGCAAAGCCTGTTCTGGAATGCAGCAAGCAGGCTTGGGGGCGGGGGGGGGGCGATAATTTAGTCGATGTTTTATACAAACACCCCACCCCTCCACCCCCCACCTACTGAGAGTTAATTTCTGTGTGGAGAGGTAAAACCCTTTGGGCAGTTGTGCAACTCTACACCCTCTGGCAGGCCCTGTGGTCATAAAACTGCCCACCTCCAACCTCAGCTGCCTATACAGTTTCAGACGTGCATTTAAGCCAGTAGTGGAGCAGGGCTGGTTGTTAGTCCCATTTGCTTTGATGTCCAGAAAGCCAGACTGGGCCACTGTGTGGTTGTGGCCTCATACGTGAGCCTTCGGGACTTCCTGGTGGGAGGCTAGTTGTGTTGCCCAGGGACCCTCCGCTGCCAGGAGCTGCCCCCCAGAGTCTCTCTTAGTATTGGCTTTGTCTGTGTTTGAGGTCCAGATGCTTACAGAATTTCACAAACACGTTTTTGGTTTCATCAAATGCAACTTGCTCAAAGTTCTTGCCCACCACGACTTTCACCCGCTTCTCATCTCTGTCATTGGGGATCTCCTCGCTCATCAGGTGGGGCTGGAAGAGAAGGCAAACCAGGTAGGACCTAATTGGCAAAGGGGCCCCTTCCAGTTTGTCGTAAGCTGTGTGACCGTTCTTTCATGGGAATGCACCTGTGGCCTTTCCCCAGAAGGGCCTTTCCTCTTGACCTCTTGGAGACGTAATAAGGGAGTGCCTTCCTCCCCAGAGGTCCGCATGCACCAGGGTGACACCCCCCCCCTTTGCCCACCTGACGTTTCCCCTGCAGAACCTCTTGGCAAAAGGTGTGGAGGCTGTGAGACGTGAGTCCTTCTGTGGCTAGCTGGTATTTTTTGTTGGCCTCAATGCTGATGAAACGGAGGGCGGGAGCATCGTGGCCCTTAAGGCCGAAGTACTGCAATACGCCGGCCCCTTCGCCACTGACATCCACCAGCAGAAAAAGCACCTGTGGTCTCGGACAGAAGCCCCCCAGTCACGGAGGATGGGTACAAATTTGCCCTCGCAGCCGTTTCATCACAGCCAGCTGGGCTTCCCCTCCCCTGGCTGGCTTAGCAAGAGGAGACCTGCTGCCTTCCTTCCAAAGAGGAAGGGAGAGGAGGTGGCCTCCCCAGGAGCAGCCCCACCTCCTCTCCCATCTCCACCCTGGACTCACCTGACCCCGGAATGCAGCGGCCCCTTCTCGAAAGGGGTCCAGGAGCCCCAGCTGGGAATCCACTGACTTGTTGATAAACAGCAGCAAATGGTGTGGGATCTTTGCCCCAAATATCTTGGAGGAGTTCTAGGGGGAAACCATCGTCAGTTGCCTCCTCTGGGCCGAGAGACCTCAAGCCACTGGACACAGAAAGCCCACAGGGTGCCGCCGGGATAGGCAGGCGGGCCATCCTGAAGGTCTGGAACCTCCCTCCTCTCTGGCCTTATCCTGACCTAACGAGGGACACAGGGCAGCAGAAGAGCAGGTCTGAAGGAGGTGCCCCCACAGCGCACCCATGAATGACAAACTGCCCGTTGCAGCTACCCCTTTGATGGAGGCCACTATATGCAAGAGAGAGGAGGGGCTGCCTCTGAGAGCAAGGAGGCTGTGGGGTCCCTGATGGGCTCCCGGCTTCCTAACCTTATTTGTGAACTCCATCACCAGGTCCAAGCTCTGCGCGGAGATGAATTGAGCCAGGTCTTCTCCATCCAGGCCCAGCTCTGCGTCAACCAAGAAATCTACCCTCTGACCATCATCCTGCAAATACATCAGTCAGGAAACCGTCTCTGCAGAAGTGCAGCGGCACACGGTCCCTTTGGCAGCATTTTGAAGATACCGGCACCGCCTTACCTTCCGAAAGAGAGAGATGGTGTCTTCAGTAATATTGTACTGTTGGAAGAGGAGCCGGTTGTCCGTGATGGCAAAGGCTACCTCGGGAGTGTCACTGGCCACATTGCCCAAGAGACCCACGTCTGGATCGTGCAGATCCTGGAGAGGACGGGAGAGGCAGAGGCAGCTCTGCACACCAGCAGCACGGAGAGGGGAAGGGCTTTTGGGGGAGGCCAGGGGAGAGGGCACGCAGAATCTGCCACTGGACAACAGTGGTGAAATCCCTGGCTACATCCCCCAAAGGCTCAAGGGCTCCGGTTATTTCTGAGCCCCCCGCCTCCGGTTCAGGGAGTGAGTAGGGGTGACATTTGGAAGAGCCTTGCCGGTGGCAGCTTCAAAGGGGCATAGAAGCCTAGGACGTCCCTCACCTGGAAGAATCCAACTACCGCAACATTGTGGAGATTCACAAAAGCAGCCACTTCATCAACTTCTTCGAGGAGCACCAGACTGGGACCGGCTTTCCGCTTTATCCACTCCACGATGCCTGCGGCTTCCTGCTCACCTAGCATGGGAACCAGGGGAGGAGTTGAGTGGATGCCTGTCCACCCACTTCCTCACCAGCAACTCTTTGAATAAAAGGAGCATGGCGCTTATCAGAGAATATGGGGAAATCAGTGGCTTAAAGTCTTTGGTCCTGTCCACGGAAGAGATGTTCTGCTCCTCCGTTGAAAAAATACATGCCGGGTTCCATCTGCTCCCCAACTGACCTGGGAAATCCATGGGGTGGGTGCGGTTCCCATCTCGGAAGAGTTTGAGGACAGGGTAGCCAGTGATTCCAAACTCGGCCCTCAGGGTCTGCTCCTGGGTGCAATCCACCTTGGCCAGTTTCACAAGGGATTCCTCCTTTAGCAACATGGCTGCTCTGGCATATTTTGGGGCCAGGGCCTGGCAATGCCCCGACCAGGGGACGCCTGAGGGGGAGAGAAGAGAGGCAGTCAAGAAGAGCAGCAGCTGAAAATCAGGATGCGGAAGAGAGGGAGAGCCCTTTCCCCTCTCTCTCTCTCTATACCAGGATCTTGGGGGAAGCGGGAGTGGGGGGCACCTCGTGAGACTGAGTGACGGGAAGGGAAAGTTGCTTCTTGCTGCGGAGCATCATCAGAAAGGGGGGCAGAGCTCCAAGATCCAGCCAATCCAACCACTTGACGCCTCCAGTCTTGAGCACTGCAGGACGAGGTAGGAGCAGCGCTTAAGCTTATAATGAAGACGAGGATGGCTTCTCTCTGGGTCTGACGGCTCCCAAGGCCCGAGAACTCGGCATATACCAACACGGGTCGGCCGAGGGACTTTGGGTTTTATGGCCAGTGAGGGGCAGCCTCTACCAACTGGAGTTGCAACAGCTTCAGGCAGCTGCTTGGAGCTGGCCAAGAATGGACACCCAGGTAGTGGGAGCCATTGTGCGCACCTCGTGCCAAGTGTGCACCATGCTGTATGTTCCCCAGTCTAAGTTGCTATAGGGACTGACTTGGGGGTATTTGCAGGCCATTGGCTGTTTTGGGAACACGGCCTGCTTTATGTAAAGATCCAATCTCTGGGTCGTGGGATAGTTTGTTCAAACAGGCACAGCCTTCTGTAGTGGCTGTGCCCAAAGCAGCAGGGAGCAGGAAGAACAAGGGTTGCCTTCTGAGGCCGTAAATGACACCATAATGGCACCACGTGAGCCTTGCGTAGATTCAGTTCTCTTCACTCAAATGGGAAGTTTGCCCCCCCTCCCCCAGGAAACTGCGCTCCCCTGCAATAGGGTGGCATCTGCCTTACGGAGGCCCCAAGGGAGCCCTGTGAAGATTTCCAGGTGCCTCCTCCCCTGGTCCTGCCCACCGGTACTCTACTCACAGAATTCCACCAAGAGCAGCTTATACGTCCGCAAAGCCCTGGCAAAATTGTGCTGGTTCAGGACCAAAATGTTTTCCTCCTCCTCCACCCAGCTGTTGTCGTCTTGTGTCCTGGCAGGCTGAAGGGGAGTCAAGGCTAGCCACAAGAGCAGCAGGCAACCCATGGCGGTATGAACGGTGGGAGTCAGCAGAACAACACGGACCCAGAGACGCCAGGCAGAGAGCAGGGCTGGCCCTGATAAGGCCTCTGGGCCCAGACACGTGGCTCTTGGTGAATGGCTCTGCCAATCCCGGCCAGGAACCTCCACCTGCCAACCTGCTTGCTCTGACCTTGCTGCGGGGGGGGGGGGGAGTCCTGAAGGAGCCCTGGTTCTCCTTGTCAAGAGGAGCTTTGGGGCTCCCGTGGCTGGTTGCCGCTGGCTCTTCCGGGTTTCCAGGTGGAGAGTCAGAAAGAAGATTGCTCAGAACAGCCCATGGGGACCTCTGAGGGCTTCAGCTGCGCTTCTGTCCAGTTGTTCTTTGGGGCCAGAGTGGGAGACCCAGGAGAGTCTGCAGCTGCTTTGGCTTCTGAAACAAAGCTATGAGGCATCTGCTAGCATGGGAGGGCGGAGATCCAGAAGGAGTCCAGGAGCTGAAGAGAATCCTGGGCATTCTCAAGGGTGGCTACCCCACGGAGACAGAAGCCCAAGCGAAGGCTGCTCGTTGCTCCTGCCCTCTTCTCAGAAATGCAAGGGGGTTGGAGGGGAGAACTCCGTGGCTTCCCAGCAGACCTTTAGGCACAGGGCGTTGCGTTCGAAACGTTCTCAGGAGTCCCCTTATGGGTGATGGGTGAGCTGCTTCCTTAGGGTGATTGATGTACCAATGGCCAAGTGCCAGGAGGAGGAGGAGGAGGAGGAGGAGGAGGAGGCAGTGGTAGCAATGGTACTTTCCAGGACCAGGATATTCTGGTAAGATCTTCCTCTTGTACCTCCCAGTCTGGGTAGAACCCAAGACCATTCTGTGGAATGTCCATCATCTTGCTCAACTGCTGGATTCTTTAACAGTTTTGAGTGTTGCTAGGAAGCAGCATGGGTCTGAATGGTGAGGCAGGCCTGAGTCTGGAATGGGGGGCAGAACTGAGAAGTGGGGATGGACTGTCCCAGATGCAGAGCAAGCCAGGCAGCTGCTTTCTAAGGGGTGGGGTAGGACCAAGCCTCCCACAGCAATACATCAGGCTCTGTATCTGTTGTGAATTCCTCCCTGCAGAAAGCAAAGAGTCGGGCCTTAACAGAGAGTCTCCTGAAAGACAGGTAAAGGGGAGCAAGGGAGTGGCAGAAAGCTCTCTGGAATGGCGCCAGCCTCCCTTCCTCTTGGCCTCTGAAGCACCGGCAAGAGGCTTCGTTCAGACTGTCTGACTCAGCTTTGCCTCTGCTTAAACTGAGCTCCTGCGCAGCAATACAGTTCAACCAAGGCCAGTGGGGGGATGGCGTGCGCGCGACTGTCAGTGCAAGACACACCAGGAGGTTTCTAATTGTTTTGAGCATCTCCTGTAGCAGGAGGAAGATGAGACGGTGGCCCTTTTGTGCGCAGCTGCAAGGAAGGGTTGCTATGACGTGGCCCAGCGACTCCTCTCCCAGGGAACGGGGGCCATGAACAGCCAGGTAGTGCAATGCGGCAAGAGGCCGGAAAAGGGGGGGGGTCTCCCTCCCTGCATCTACTGAGACTGCCCCTTGCTTTGGGTCGTTTGTTCTCCTCCAGGATGCCAGTGGCAGAACCCCACTTTTCTGGGCCACAGAATACAGGCACGAGAGACTGGTGGAGCTGTTGCTGTCCCATGGGGCAGACCCAGATGTTCGTGACAAAGTGTGTGCAAGATGGGGGTTGTGGGGGAAGGGAAGGGGAGAGGGGCATATCCAGCAGCTGCCCTCATAATAAACGAAGAGGGCTGCGTCTTGAAAGGGCTGGAAAGAAGCAAGACCCAGCCAGGTGCCCCAAAGAGCCACATGGTCACGCCTGGCTTGGTTCCAACTACACCTCCAGGCTCAGCTTCATGGGTCATGTAGCAGTGGGCCCTTGAGCCCCAGCAGCCCTGCAAAGGTAAAGAAGGGAGTCTTGGGGGCAGAGGGTCCCTTCTTCTGGGCCCCGCCCAACAGAGCAACTTTTCAACAGCTCTCCAGACTGACCCAGCCTTTCTGTTCTACTTGCCTGGAAGCTCTTCCCTCCATCGGAGCTATCCAGCCCTTGGGAAGGGAGGTTTGGCAGGGGGCCTCTGCCTCTCCCACTGCTCTTCCCAAGGGGCTGGGATTTCAGGGCTGCCTGGGAAGAAAAGGGCTTCGGAGCAGGGCCCTCAGCCAACTCAACCGTGGGTCTCTGCCCTTCTGACCCCATGTAGGAGGGGAATCTTTGCCTGCACAGGGCGGCCTATTTTGGCTCACCTACCATTGCTAGGATGCTGCTGGAAGCTGGCTCAGACTTGAATGCAAGAAACCTTCGGGGTGACTCACCTCTGCACCTGGCGGCCCAAGAGAAGTGCCACGAGTGCCTCAGGTGAGATGGGTGGGCTTGGAGGGTCTTCACATGTACTTAGCTGACCACACAGGGCAGAGCTCTGGAGGAAAGCTGCAGCCCTCTTCCAGGCCTGGGGGGGTCATTGCTCAGTCTTCCAGGCCTGGGGGGCAGTTGTCTACTCTCATCCCTCTTGGCGAGAAGGCCCTTTTGGTTGTTGGGACATTCCAGTCCTAGCCGTGTCCCCAGATTTCGGAAGAGAGGACTGGAGGGTTGCTTGTGGATCGGGAGAGATCTTGGAATAAGATGCTTTGGCTGCCTGGAGTTCTCCTCGGGGACCACAAAGCCCAGGGGCCCCAGCCGCCTTCTAATCTTGCAGCCTTTTCCTGGCCTGTGGCGCAGTTTCTCTGAAGAACAAGGCAGGGCAGCTGCCCCAGCAATGCACCCGGCTCAGCTCCCCCCCCTGCAGGGCTCTGCAGGCCTTCTCTGCCCAGTTGCCAAGCCAGGTAGAGCAGATACTCAGCAGGTGAGTCAGTCACACATCCTCCCTCCCTCCCTCCCTCCCTCCTGCCATCCTCTCTGCAATGTCGCCCATCCCACAAAAGCACATTCCCAGTTGATGGGCACTCCTCAGACTGTGGGTGGCGCTCAGCACCGCTCAGCTGCCTCGCCTTCTCTTCCCAGGGACGTCTCCCGGGGCTTTGAGCAGGTTGCCATTCCCTGCCTCAATATGGTAGACCAGGAATCCTGTCCCAGGGATTTCCTCTACATCACAGGGAACATCCTGTCAGGCTCAGGGCTTCTTCCCATAAAAACCTGCGATCAAAGTCAGGTGAGAGATTTCCCTTCCTTGCTTCCTTTGGGAGGCCCCCCCAGCATTCGTAGCACATTATCTGGGGCACACACTGTGTGTGTGTTTGTACGTGTGTGTGTGTGTGTTTGTGCGTGGGACAGCAGGAACTAGAGGTTAGCTTTTGTGATAGCGTCCTTTGAATCAAAGTATTGCAGACATGCTTCCTTGGTGGCCTTTCCCAAAGCCAAGATAAGCGTTTGAGCATTTTCAGATTTTTTTACTGAGCTCCTTATGTAATCACATTTATTTTTATTTAAATTTATTTTATACCTAGAATTATTCAACTGTAATTTGAAATCCTTCTTTGGAGGAATGCATGCCAGACTTCAGACTTCCTGTCCTGCATTTGACTGTAGATTATGGACTTAAAACATAATTTTCTGAAGTCCAATATTTGTGTACCCAGTTTACTTCCACTTAAAATCAAGATTTCCAACACTATTGTTGTCTTCCAGGTTTTCTGCCTCTTATTTGATTAAATTATTCCTATTGCTTGAATCAAATCAGGAATGGATTCTTTTGTGGCTTCTTCCACCTTCTGAAGGAGAAAATTACCACAAAGCAGGCTGAGAACTTGCTAAAAGGACCGTGTTTGTTTCCTAGGACATGCCGTGGCAATTAAGGCCCCTGCCTCAGTTTGAGAGAATCAGTTTGCTTCTAAGAAGCATCAGGAACACCTTGTATTTGATTTGGTGGGTGGCACAAACCACAATATTGTTTTTATTCTTCCTTTATTTTTTAAAAAAGGAGAAGGCTCTTTTGAGGGAATTCAGTCTATCCCCCAGGTAATCCTACAAAACTAACCTTTGATTGACCCCACTTCCAAAGCCAGTAATTCACTCTCTGTGAGAACAGATTGGTAGTGATTCATTGTGATGTTATCGGTCTCCACAGAGAGGAGAAGGAAAGGATACCTGTCTGGGAGCCTGGCAGACCTGGGCAGCCGTGCCATCCCTTTCTGACCGCTGCTCGCAGAAGACTGGCATTTGCGCGTCAGCACATGCAGCACATGCAGACTGGCCCAGATTTGGGTCAGCATCTTTTTTGCAGACAATAACTTGCATCCCCCCCTACAGTACCAGCCTCTTTTCTCCTTCACTGAAGATTCAGACGCTTGTGGAGATTTTTTCCCCTGAAAGCCGTTCTTGCTGGCCTCTTTTATTTGAAGGGAGAATCTTCTCTCCTGCCTCCTTCTTCAGCATCTCCTTGGTTGGGCCCCAAGAGCCCCCCCTCCCCCCCCAGGCGATCACTAGCAGTGAGTTGCTTCTGCTGCAGACAGGAGGGCTGCTTGCCACAAGTCCTGCAATCCCCACTCCAGCCACCTTCCTTCCTTCCTTCTTCTACCCACTTGGGGAAGGCAATTTCTCTCTCCATCTTTGGGGAGCTTCCTTTCTCAAAACTTGCCTTGTTATTTAAAATGAGGAGGAGATTTGGGGCCTCTTACTCCAGGATTAACCTTGTTGGAGTCAATACATCCACTTCATAGAATACATATTTAATATTAATTTAAGAGGGAGAGAGTGCTTTTGTCTTATGTTGGTGTGCGAGAGAAAACTGTTTAGCCCAATACAAAATGTTGGGAAGACTTTACCCATAGAAGAAAGGAGCATATTAAAGGCTATTTAGTGACTCTGCTTTTGAGAGGTAACTCTGATTCAGAAGTGACCACTGCTGCACACCATGGGGCTCCTGAAAGTCAGGTACACAATGGAAATGAAATAAAAACAAACTTGTTTTTTCAGTGGCACCAACTATAAACTTTTGCCAGAAAAACTTACACATTCCATGCTGAGCAGTAGAATTGTGTTGGCTAAGGCCAGGTCTCGGCTGCAGTCCCGTGTGGGAAGGGCAGCAACTGTGGTAAGAAACAGCAAAACCACCAGGGGAAGCATCTTTCTTCATGCAGCTGCTGCTCTGCCACCCTGGGGGATCAGAATGTGGCTGGGTGCCAGTGGGTACCTGGTGGATTCACATCGCGCCAGCTCTCTCCACAGAGAGGGAGGGATGTGTGTGCTGGACCGACCGTTGGCATACTGCTTTGGTTAATTTCAGGGCTGCCGGTGTGATGGAGGTTGCGCCGTGGCCAGCTGTCCCTGCATCCTGCGCAGTCAGTGCTCCTGGACCCTCACGGTGAGATGCCCAGCTTTCTTCTCCCTATTGAGGGGATGTTGCCACTCCAAGTGCCAGCCAGCTTCTCCTTCCTGCCAATGCAGGGTGGCCAACTCAGACTGGATACCACTGGCACAGCCCCCGAGATGGGATCCATCTACGAATGCAGCATGCTGTGTGCTTGTCCCAGGTCCTGCCCCAATCGGATGGTGCAGCGTGGGCTCCGGTGAGTGTCCTGAGGTGTCCTGGCTCCTGCTGGAATACCGGGGGCAGCCTAAGTTGACCCTGGCAATCATCATCATCAGAGATTGACTGACGTTCCATCAGATCAAGATGCCCACCAACCATCTTGCTCTTCTTCCCTGAGGGCCAGTTCACCTGTATGAGGGATCTGTTCTCCCATGGCTGCCCCACAACAGCATATTCCCGCAAAGGGAGTAACCGGAGGCCTTTCCTCTACTTGCAGAACCCAGCTCCAACTTTACAGGACAGCTGCCAAAGGTTGGGGTGTGCGCACAGTGCAGGATGTGCCCCATGGAGCCTTCCTTTGCCAGTGAGTTCTGGAGCGGGGTTCTTTTGTCCTGCCCCCTGGAGGAGGGGCTGGGAGGAAGAGCAGAGCAGCCCACCTCTCTCACTGCCCCCCCTCTCCGCCAGGTACTTTGGGGAGCTGATTTCCAATACTGAGGCTGCACACCGAGAGGAAGACACTTACTACTTTGTGGTGGACATGCCGGTAGAATCTCCCTTACTCGGGAATGTGACCGGGGGGGGGGGGGGGGGGGGGCGGGAG